GGGTGGGGTGTCATAGAAACCGCTGACAGCAGGGGAAGCACTCCAAACAAGTGGCGGGTGATTTCCTCATGAAAACTGTGGAGAATGTGGCTCATGGACAGACCAGAGTCACGCGGGGCAGTGAGGCGACGGGGGCCTGGGATCACACTCACAAACACATACACCCACACGCAGACGGATGGAGGGCGGCCTCGGCCACAGACACCGTAACACCTGAACCATCTCGTAAACAGGCTGGCCACGCGGTGCCCGGCCCTGAGCTATAAAAACTGGGGAGGGGGGCAGTCGGCATGGCTTAGGGCCACAGCCCAGTGCCACACAGCAGGGTGGGTGCCAGCTGTGAGCACATTTGTAAAACGCCCCCCACACTGGGATGGGTCTGGGGTCTACTTGAATTGGTCGATTTAGTTTTACCCTTTCACTCCATCTCTGATCGGTTCTCTAGCATCGTCGTGACAAAGCAGGGTAGCCATGGTGGGGGGGTTAATGCTGTGGTCAGGCCCCATGGCCCTGTCCCCTCATGCCAGAGCCCCTCCCGTCCCAACTCTGATGTCCTGAGAAGGTGGATGTGACTCTATGGTCACGGGGGGCCCCGTCGTGAGCTTTCTGCCATTACGTGAGTCACCAGCATCAACAGAGTCACAGTAACCACAGACAGCAGGGTGGACGGGTGTTAAATCGACAGACACTGGGTGACCCCTACAATCCAGGCTGACTGCTAAAAGCCCTTAAATCCTGTCAGGAAAACCAATGATGCACAGCGAATGACACAGAAAATCAACACGACTGATAGTCACTGGCACCTAACCGACGCACAGTGACTGACACCAGGAAACTGACATACGCAACTGACACAGCATCCAACATACGATGACTGACACACAAGAACTGGCACAGTAATCACCACAAAGCGACTGACACGCAGCGACTGACACGCAGCGACTGACACGCAGCGACTGACACAGAAACCGATACAGTGACTGATACAATGAAGCCCAGGATACACACAAGTCACGAACTAAGGGAAACAACACAGATGTGCTCACAGACGTGCTCATAGACCATTATTTGCAGAGCAGCTGTGAGCCCAGTGATGTCCAGGTCTCCCAGAAAAACCGAGTGGAAAATATGAAGAGCAGGGAGCTGACGAGGGAACCCTGCGGCCAGGCAGCCGGCGGGCACAACGGCGCCGCTGTCTGGCTGCTGGGGACACTGCACCGCTGAGGCTCTTTGTCCCCCGCGGGGACGCTGCTCGTCCTCTCTGAGTAGAGGAAGGTCCCCTCACGTGCCTCTTCAGGACCCTCCTCCCCGCCTAAAAACCCGGCAGTGGACGTCGCTACTTTCATCTGGCCACACAGTCACCCCCCCTTCACCCCCCCAGCGTTTGGGGCAGAGTGGGTGCTGTCGCCCAACTTGCATTCCAGGACCCTTTCCTGCCCCCCCCCCCCATAGCCATAGCTGGTCTGTGTGTTTTGGTTTCCTCTGCCGGACGACAGCCTCACTCGCGCGTCGCCCCCAGGCCCACAGCTGTGCCCCCATCCCCCCCCCAACTCCGTGGCATTCCACAACTTCAGAGTTAAGCTTTCAAAGTTTTCAGGGGGAAATGAGGAACGTCAACAAGAGCTGCACTTTAAAAAAGAGCTGAGAATGCACCCCCTCCCCCGTACCCCCCCCCCCCAGCCTGCCTGCCTGCTGGCCTGGGGGTCTTTTTTCACTTTTCTGTTCACAGTACGAGTCGAAACCGGATCTCTTCCCGTTCATGTGAGCCAGCCGCTCTCCATTGCCCCCACGCACGCAGACCTGCACACACAGACGGAGACCCGCATACGCAGACCCATACACGCAGACCCGCATACGCAGACCCGCATACGCAGACCCGCACTCGCACACCAGCTTCCTGTGCCTTCCCGGAGCTCACCTACCCGAGCCCGTCGCCTGCATCGCTGCCTCTCGGTCCGGCTGCCCACTCCGAGTGTGCGCCTCCCTCTCTGCTCCGAGTGTGTACCTCCCTCTCCACTCCGAGTGTGTACCTCCCTCTCTCTCCTCTTTGTCTGTAAGTCTCAGCAGGCACCTCCAGAGCTGCAGGCTGACAGTTTGAATGAGAACACCCCCCCACACTGTCTGCTCCAGCCTGGCCCCTCCTCCCCTCCGCCCCCTTCTCTCTCTCACATTCACCCCCCCACCTTTTCGCAATCCCTCCTCGTGATTCAGTGATCTGCCCCTTTCTGTTCCTCCCTCTCTTCCCGTCTTCCTTACTCTCTATCTGTCACTTTCCACCTCTTTCTGTTCCTCCTTCTCCTCCTTTCTTCTTTACTCTCTATCACTCTCCTCCTCTTTCTGTTCCTCCCTCTCTCTTCCCTTCTTTCTCAGTCTCTCTATCTTTTTCCCTGTGCCTCTCTCTCTCCTGTTTTTGGTATGTTTCTCTTTCTCTTGTTTTTTCCCCCCTCTTCATACTCTCCCTTCATCAGGGAAAGTCTTTCCAGCTGCTGATCCGGTTCGAGTCACTAGGTCCGGCAGGCTGAGTGCACGCACACGCGTGCTCAAACTCTGCAGTCCGAAAACCTGCCGCCAATCTGTTGAGGGGTCATGTTGCCATCGTAAGATGAAGCTGACTTGTCGCCCTATAACTTTTCCTATCTGCCTTTGGATCGGGACCCTCTGCCCTCCCCATCGCCCGAGATTGAGGGCATGGCGTTATGTTTTATTTTACAGAGGGGGTGAGATGAAGACTGACAGGAAGCCTTTTGTACGGCGTGTAAATGTGACGAGCTGAGCACCCCTTTGCAGAGGGCTTTCCCTGTAAAAACAGCACCTTTATCCCTGGTACATTTTCATAGATAACCACAGTGTCACTTGCCCCGTGATGGCAGTGTCCACCATGGCCAAGAAATTAGCTTCCCTCACTTGTTTTTCAGCTTTTCTAACGAAGTTGCTGGCTTCTCCAGCGGCCAAACACCCACCCAGCGAGCCACCCCCTACGCTCTCCACAATCAACGCGGGGTGGGGGCAGAGCCTCACTGAAAGGGCCTTTCCTTTTCAGAGCAGAAAAATAATAACCTCCCCGCATGGGGCGTGGGGGGGGGGGGGGGGCTCTCTCTAATCCACCGGAATAGAGTAATTTGATTATCTGGCCCCAGCTTCTGCCCAGCAAACCTCGGGCTCCTGATGTTCCTTCGGTGCTGTGGCCAAGCCGGCCTCGTCCACACGTGGGATTAAGGTTTTTCCCATAGAAATGAATGCACGGTCCCCACAAGGATATGAATAAAAAATGTGTGTGTGTGTATGTGTGTGTGTGCGCGCACGTGTGGGCAGTGAAGGTTCTGGAATCTCCCGGGTCCCTGGGCACGATGCAGCCGCGCATGAGGAAGTGATGTCACAATGATGGCTCGGCCTCACGGCCGCCTACACGTGAGGCCCAAGCAGCCCTGCCTGTCTCCCCCAGGACAGACGGGCCCCAACGGAGGCGTCATCCTCGCTGGAGGGGGCACAGTCATTAACTTTGGATTATCACAGCTGCCATCGCTGCGACATCATCTTCACTCCCCGCTGCATGTATCATCTCGCTGTCTTTTTAAGGTGCTGATATTTACAGATTTCTGGCATGCTGATCAGATGTCAGCGGTGTCCAGCCGGCCTGAAAACAGCCATGTGCTGCTCTTTTAAGCTCCGTTTCAGGGTGACAGGGGGGGCCTAGTGCCTGCGGACTGACTTACCAGTCCGGGGTCACGGCCCACGCGAATACCCCAGTGCTCCCAATTTGATGGGAACAGGGAAAGAAGAGCCGGGATCAGAGTATCCAAACTGTAGGCCTCCTGCAGGGTCAGCTGTCCAGCGTGACCTTTGACCTCCTGCGGCCCACAGGGAGGCTTCCTCCACACAGCCCAGGAGGCCCCAGAGTGTGAAATTAGCCTCTCTTGCAGACACAAACACCCCCCACAGACACCGCAGTCAAATAAAAGTGGCCACAAATCACCCTGTACCCCCAGCGCCTAAATTAACGGTACAGGTTTATGGCACAGAACCAGCACGAGTCACTGATACGCCCAAACGCACAAACATTGCCCAGAGGGAACCGCCACACAGGCAAAGCCCCAATTACTGGCACAGCTGGGTCGACCACAAGCAGAATGTCATGTGACCACAATCACAGGAAATTGATGCAGCCAGGGCAGCAGAGAGATAAGTGGAGTGACTGAAGAAGCTTCCTGTGCAGCAGTGAATCATGGGTAAAGGTGTAGCGCCATCAAGGTCTTCATTAGGCATGTGCTATTTTATATTTGTAGAAAGGTCTGCAGCACCCCCTGGTGGCCATTCACTGAAGCACCATTGTGATACCCTTCATGTTAAGGTGTCAGACTCTGGTCTCTCTGAATGACTTGCTGCCCAACTCCTCTGCTCCACTTAGTGGTAAATTAGCAGGACTGTTCATGGCACCAGAACCACAAGGGTGGCACACAGAGAAAGCACACAGTGGCACCCTCCGAATAAACTTTATCATTTTAAAAAATAATGAAAATCTAAACTAAGCCATTAAAAATGCACTTTGGAGAAAAGACCATATTGTAAGTGTTTCTTCCACCAAAGTCCTTCCTTTCAGGTCCCAGTTTAATAACTATCATTCATATTTAATAATTCAGCCCCCGAGATGTGTGTGTGTCTGTGTCTCTGTGTGTGCGATATATATATATTATATTGTGGGGAGAAAATGCTACTTTGACGTTGTGGGGACCAATTGTTTCATAAAAACTGAATTTTATAAAAATGTGTGACTGTAATCAAAAAAACTAAAAATGCCGAAAGTCTCATATTTAGTTTGGTTACTTATGGTTAAGTTAAGGGCTGGGTAGGGGTTAAGGTCATCATTGATGGGAATAAGGTTTTTCCATAGAAATGAATGGTGAGTCCCCACAAAGATATGAATACAAATGTGCTTGTGTGTTTGTGTGTATGGAAGCATGCATGTTTATATGTGTGTGTGTGTGTGTGTGTGTCCGGCTCACCTCTCTCTGGCACCCTGTGTTCACCTGCTGGGGGCCCCGGGGATGCAGGGGAGGTGGGCTGGCCTCTCATGCCAGGGATGGCTCACCGTGGGCGGGTGGGCGGAACTCACGCTCCTCCTGGCCTGGCTCTGGAGGCGATTGGTCCGTGGGGGTCACAGGGCCCGCCTCCTGCCTCTGGAAAAGAAGTGAGCCGAGAGTCAGCCCCGAGGTCCTAGAGCAGCAGTCCCATCTCCCGTATGGACGGCACACAAAAGGGCTCTATATCAAATACCATGCACAGGGGGCGCTATAACCAAATGGCCGTCCCTCAATGGACAGAGCCATGCACAGGGGGCGCTATAACCAAATGGCGGTCCCTCACTGGACAGAGCCATGCACAGCTGATGCATAGACAGCAGTGAGTGATGCTGACCTGTCTCAGCCTCTGTCCCTCTACCTAATCACTCCTAGGGGGGCCATTCTGCCTCAGAGATCCTTAATTCACATGAAATGGAATAGAGATTTACGAAGAGCAGCGCTCATGTACGTGGTTGCCGTGGTTTCCATTGAATCAGGCATTCTTAATTGTGGCGGAATATTCCAGTCAGAGGAATGTTGTTATAGACAGAGTGGCACGCTTTGCCCCCTGGTGGATAGAGGGAGCATTACACACGGGGCAGCTGAAACTACAGCAGAAAAAAAGGTTATGTTGGTGTGGAGAGGAGTTTGAAGGGGGTCCCTGTGTGTACATCATGGGGAGGGATGACGGGGGGGACACATCTAGTCTCCAGCTGGCATGGACTGGCCATCTCTTACGCATGAGGCTTGTGGGCCCAAGAGGCCCAGCACTCTCTGGGAGAGCAAAGCACTTCAAGGGCATCACACCCCGCCCCCACCCCCCCGGAGCTGAAACCAGAGCCCAGATCAGAACTTGGTGAGGATCCACAGGCTCGCATGACCATGGCAGCTGGGCCGGGGGGCCACATGGCTCTGCACTTTTCCCACCCCCCTGAGTTTCCCACCTAATTAACAAAAATGAGAACAATAGCACTGATCAGTCAGACTTGCCGCTGCTGGGCAGCTGAAGCTGGCCACCAGAGCGGCGCTCATTACACTGCGGTCTTTGCCGACCCCTGAGGCTCGGGGCTGACCTGGGGCTGACCTGGCACAGGAAAGAGGAGGTCTCTCCTCTCTCCTGTGCCTATTCTCCCCTGCGGTCAATGTGTCCCTATCACACCCCCAAAAGACACCCTGATGGTGGAGAATTAGCATTATGTTTAAAGCCCGATTACTGGCGGTCAGCTCCAACAGCCACAGGTGGTGGCTGGATAATCACTCCTCGTGGTCTGTTAATTTAACCTATAAGATACGCATCACCATGGTGATTAATACGGGCAGCCATTTATAGTGTTTTCCTGGACATTCACTAAGGCAATTATCCTCTGCTTAGAAGGTACAACAGAAGGTCCTGTTCTTGGAATTTAACATTCTGAATTATTGGAGCCCCCGTCCCAAGCCTAGTCTGCTTGGGGTGAAATTCTGGCCAGTGGGAAGGTCTCCACACCGTGCTGAAATCAGAAAGACATTATGACAGGTCTGAGCACACAGACAGCAAACAGAGCGGGCACCCCACCTCGGGGTAGGCCCGGGCACACAGACAGCAA